AGGAGGAAGAAGAAAAGGAGGAGGTGGAAGTGGAGGCGGAGGCGGAGGTGGAGGAGGAGGAAGAAGAAGAAGAAAAGGAGGAGGTGGAAGTGGAGGCGGAGGTGGTGGAGGAAGGAGGAGAGGAGGAAAGGAGGGAGGAGGAGGAGGAGGAAAGAGAAGAAGAAGAGGCAAAAGAAAAGGAAGGAGAAAAAACAGGAGGATGAAGAGGAGGAAAAAAGAAGAAGAGAAACAAAAGAAGGCGAGGGAGGAGGGGAGAAGATGAAGAAGAATAAGAAGAAGAGAATTAGATATCAAGAACAAGAGATAGAGAATTCGAGATACGAAAAGAAAGCACAGATAGACAGGCAAAGAGTCAAGTTAGACAAATCGACGACATTTCTGAACAATTTCACATCAAGATTATCATTGTCATTGAATTACTTGTCAGTTTCTGATTCTTTACAAATAAAAAAAATGACGCGAAGACTTAAGACAAAAATGTCCAGATAAAGAAAATAAAAGAATATATCACGGGATAAAGATGAATTAAACATGCCAAAGTAAAGTTTAAAAAGAGGAAATAAAGATGGTCGACTGAAAGAAAATAGAAAAATATATAATGCCAATGAAAATAATGAAAATATCACATCAGATATGGTGATTGATCACAAGATAATATTTTCAACGATAATATTAATAGATTTGGAATTTTAAAATAAGAAAATCATAATTTGCCTTAAATCATTCAGCGAAATACAATTACATATAATTAAAAAAAAGAGAGAGAATGAGGGTGCATAAATCTTTTTTCTTTTGTTATTTCATTGTCTTTTTGATTTTTTGTAGGATGTCCATCAAATTATTCCTTTCTAATATTTTTTTCCCAATCCTTTTAATTATACTTATTAGATTATTGGATTGCGACATTGACTCTAAATTATAAATAGATTGAATTTTGATTCTTTTTCAAGGATCTAATTTAACTGGAAAGGGAATAAAGGTGAAAGTAAGAATAATCTAAATTTCAGCGTCTCTAATTAACCATTCCATCGGTGGTCTTTGCAATGCAACCTATTTCACTTTGCATGGGGGGGGGGGGGGCTGAAGCATTAAAGGTAATTTTATTGGAGAATCAACAGTGTTAATTGTATGTCATTTGTATGTTGTATGTACCTATTATTGTTGTTATTGTTGTCATCTTTGTTATCATCATTATTATCGTTATCATTATGATTATTATTATCATCATTATCATTATTGTTGTTGATGTTCTCGGTGTTATCATTGTTGTCACCATCATCATCATCATTATCATCATCATCATCATCATCATCATCATCATCATCATCATCATCATCATCATCATCATCATCATCATCATCATCATCATCATCATCATCATCATCATCATCATCATCTTCATCATCATCATCATCATCATCATCATCATCATTATCATCATCATCACATCATCATCATCATCATCATCATCATCATCATCATTATCATTATCATCATCATTATCATCATCATCATCATCATCATCATCATCATCATCACTATCATCATCATTATCATTATCATCATCATTATCATTACTAAAGTATTATTACTATTATTATTGCAACAATCATTATCATCATCCTCACCATAAAAATAATACTGAAAATGACAATGACAACAATAATGACAATAATAACAGCGATAACAGTACGGATAGCAAAAGAGATAAATAACGAGTAAAAAAAAAAAAGAAAGAAAAGTAAAAAAAAAAAAAAAAGAAAAGAAAAAAAAAGTAAAATAGAATAAAAAAAATAAACGAAAAGAAAAAACGTAAAAAAAGTAAATTAAAATAAATAAAACAGCAAAAAATTTACACCAGGGATCGTCCGGTCGTAAAAATCGTCCTTAATTACATAGATCTCTTCGAATCAGACTCAACGCGGGGTTCAGTGCCGTAGATTCTGATGAAGAAAACTGAATTTCAGGTCGAAGGTTCCGTTTGGGGCGCAGATGGTGCGTGATTCGTTGCGCAAATATATACAGAGTTTATTTGTTGTCACACGCTCACCCGGGGATGTATGTACGTACACACATGTATATACGCACGCTCACTCGCACGCATACACACACATGTACACCCTCTCTTTCTTTTATCTCTCTCTCTCTCTCTCTTTCTCTCTCTCTCTCTCTCTCTCTCTCTCTCTCTCTCTCTCTCTCTCTCTCTCTCTCTCTCTCTCTCTCTCTCTCTCTCTCTCTCTCTCCCTCACAACATACCTCCCTCCCTCCCTCTCTCTCTCTCTCCCCTCCCCACTCTCCTTCCCTCTCCTTCCCCTTCACTTCTCACAACACACCTAACCCCCCTCTCCCCCTTCCTCTCCCCCCAGAGCTGCCTGAGGAGAAGCCAACTATTCACGGAACCCAACATGAGTACCACATAGGTGACACAGCGAGACTCACCTGTGTGTCGGCCAGATCGCGCCCCCCTGCTGAGCTCACCTGGGAAATTAACAGTGAGAAG